CATCTATCTACATGTTGCCCAGAATGGCTTACTTGGCAAGCCTTGGTTTAGCAGCGGTGTAATCTGGAAAGGGTGCGAACGCCACATGTGTGTAAGCCAATGGACGTGTTTCCTGCCCTGGGGAGAAATTGTGGGGTCTGGGGAGGCCCCCTCTGGCTCCTTGTCCTCCTTTCCCTCTGCAGGAACCCCCCCCCCCCCGCCTTTCCTAGCAGGGACACGTTTCTGTGAAGAGCTGGATTGAAAGCACCCCAATTTCACCAGAGGGCTGTCCTGGCTGACACCCCTCCCCCCTCCCCGCCCCCCGCCATGCCCAAGATGCCCATAAGTTCAGTTAAGGTGGGAGGAGTGGGCTTCGGAGTAGTTTTGGAACAGGAGGAAAACAGACATCTCCCAGCTCTGTGTATCTGCCATTTCTGCACAGGTGTGTGTGTGTCTGTGTGTGTGTGTGTACGCAGGTAGTCTTCGACTTACAACAGTGCGCTTACCCAAAGGTGCTTTTTTCAGGAGGCAACTGGACTTTTTTTGTTTTTATTTTGAAGACGTTTCACAGAAAAACCTCCAAGTGGCCTCAGCGAGACCCTCTAAACTAAAAGGATGCAAATGACCAGCTGCCTGCAAGGAGTCTAAATCCATTTCCATTTTCCCCACCGTCGTCCAGTCAGAGTGGAAGAAGCTTCTTGGATGAGAAGCGAAACATCTCCAAGGATAAATCAAGAAAGAAGCTTTGGGACAACCATAACTTGGAGGGTGGAGAATCTCTACAGACTTTTAACAGTTTGTTTAGGGACTGTTCAAAGTTAACAACGGCACTGAAGAAAGGGACTTGCGACCATGTTTCACCCTTACGACCGTTGCAACGTTCCCCATGATCGGGTGATTTACATTCGGACGCTTGACAACTGACTCATTTTTATGACGGGAGGGTCGCGGGGGATCCCCTTTTACGACCTTCTGGCGAGCAACGTCGACGGGGAAACCGGGTTCGCTTAACGACGGCGTTAACTAACTTTAACAGCTGCAGGGGTTCACTGAACGGGCATCAAAGGGGGCAGAGCCTCACTGAGTGAGGGTCTCACTTAGCGGCGTAAAGGTCGGGATCAATTGTGTGGCCGGACATTGAGGACTACCGGTCATCTATTCCAGCGAAGAATCGTCTTTAACCGGATAACGTCCATTCAGGTGGGTTCGGTCGGGATATACCCAGGAACCACTTCAGATGATGGGCTGGCTTCCTCCCTGCCTAGCTGTTTCTTGAGGGGTGGGGGGCTGTCCCCCAGATAAGGATGTCCCCCCTTATTCTCCCCCACCCCAGATGAGGATGTCACAACTTAAGAGAAAGGGGATGATTCTCCCTGCATCTCCAGACCGGCCCCTGGTTGGTTGTGTTTTCATAACTCTGGTTTTGGGGGGAAGATCCAGACCTGGGCACCCCCCACATTAGGACAGCTTGCTGGCAGCCACCTTTTTCAAGGGTCCCTTGTGGAAAAGAGGGGAGGGGGCTTCTGAAGATCCTGTTTTGTAGCGACCCACGTGGATTGTAGCCTCACAGAGGGCCATTGCTCGTCCGAATAGGTTTATCCTTCTTTGTGGACAGACTTTTCCGGCAGAGCGCTCGACAAGTGGTCCCTGACCCCACAGGTAGCTTTCTTCTGAGCCCCCCCCACCCACGAGAGAGAAAGACAGCTGAGAGAAAGGTAAGAGATGCCACTTCTACCTTGATGTTGGACTGGTTTATTTCTCTTGCTCTTTCTCCCTCTTTCTCTCCCTTTCTTTCCTTCCCTTTCTCTCTCATTCTCTTTCTCTCCCTGTTTCTTTCCCACTCGCTCTTTCTTTCTCCTTCCTTTCTTTTTCTCTCCTCTCCTTTTCTCTTTCTTTTCATTTCTCTTTTTCTTTCTCTCCTTCCCTCTTTCCCTTTCTCACTTTTTCTTTCTCTATCTTTCTCCCTCTTTCTTTCTCTCTCTCTCTTTTT